GAGCGCCAAAATTACGATTCACCATGGCAACAGCACCTGACAAAAAAACTTCTGCATACTACGGAATACGTAACTTTAATTCTAAATCAATGTTATCAGAGGTGAAAACTGGCAGAAAGGTAATTTATTGAACTAATATTCATTTTCATGGTATCCCACGGGCAAAGAAAAGAAAAAAAAAATGTGGCAGCAGAAAAAAATTAAACATAAAAACATAATTCAATCAGGTAAAGCTTCAAGCATAAAATGGGTGTAGGCTAACGTTACATGACATTACAAATATTTGTCCTTCAATAAATATCATTCAGTGTATATCTATTTCAATGTGCAGCAGCTTTTCCCACATAGTCTAATGCTTTTTCACATAATTAAATGTTCTCTAATCCTACATTTCTTAATTAGGGTAATGAAAAAACATTTGACTTCTATTCAGAAGCCAACAGCAAGAAGGCAGAGACTTGTAAAATTGGGGGAGAACCTGCACCAGCATCACTGACAGATGAAGAGGAGATTGCCACAATACCAATATTAAAATCCTACAGGGAAAATAATAATTTGTTGCTTTTTGCTTCCAACCACACTGGAAATCCTAAAGGAAATTCTAATTATTAGGTTACTTAGAGGTTGCAACAAGATGTTATCAAGTGAACGCCAAAATGTGGTACCGTTCAAATAAATATGCATTTGGATATGGCAAAATAAATAAATGAGATCAAATCAAATGAAATCCTCTCCGGATGTAAATGTAACGCCCCGTGAATTAATGCAGCCTCCTCATCTACAGGATCCTTTATAAAAAGACATGCCATTTTTGTCACATTTACCGTGTCTGCATGATGAAAATGAAAGTGATCCGGTAAGAAAAATAATCTTGTTTCCATTTTCATTAAGATCATTTTTCTTACCCCGCTGGCAATTAATTTTGCTTGTTTACCCCAGGAAACAAGTATTTTCTTATATAGAAAATGCATCATGATTTAAGAATTTTTAGATATTTGAACTTGAAATAAGGCAAAAATCTCAGCAATAAAAACCATTTTTGCAGCGTGAATGAATGAATGAGGTATTTAAACATCGCTTAC